GAATGTGGAGTCCGGGGTTGACCAGGGTCAACCCTACGTTGTTACGAGTAACAACGGGGGGGGGGGTCGTACTCAGTTGAGCTTGGAGGGAGGGGGGTCGTACCCTCTCGGTGGCCGACAGTGGGATTCTTGGTAATATCGGATAATAGCCAGCACGTTACGTTTTCGTAAGATGACTGGTACTAGAGCATCTATAAACAACGCTTCCCTCTAAATGAGCTTTCGAATGAATCAGCGAATTAGAAGGGCGCCCGAGGCGTGGCGCGCACCAAGGCAAGGGATGTAGTGCAAGCGCATGCTCGGAGCTTTCTAGCACATCCTAAATTAAACATAAAATTGGTCTTCCAAGAAGTTACGGGCAGTGAAACCTAAGAAAACTCGCGTTTTCGAGAAAATGGCTTGAAGAATACCCCTCAAAATAAAAAGTAACAACGGGACTAATTTTTGAACTGCTGATCTTTCAGGAACGTTTGGGTGCTCGTTAGAAAGCTTGAAACCTGTAGTTTTATTATACCGTGTTCAGCTTCCCAAAATGAATTTTAGGAGAAGTTATTTGAATCGTTTAGAGGCTAAAAAAGTCGCTGGTTTTTCCAAAAAAAGTACGCAAACTCTAAATGTACAAGCCGGGAAAAATTTTTGAACTACTGTCTTTCAGGAAGCTGTGGGTGATTCTCTACGGAGGCTTGAATCTGTAGTTTATGGATAGGGCAGCTTCCAAAATGAATGATAATTTAGGGAAGGGGTTCATAGGTCGTGGTGGAGGGCAATAAAGATCGCGCGCGCTGATTGCACAGAAAAAAGTAACAACGTACTAAATTTTTATTAAATTAACTTTCGAAGAATTTTTACCCATGGTTGGAGAGAGAATAATTTGAATTTTCCAAATCAAATCACTTCGGCGCAGAAGCTCGAATATGAAGGAAGTTATAGCCTTAGAAAGAGGGGTGTAAAAATTGTGTTGCAATTGAAGAACGTGAAGGATTTCAGTATTTCAATTGGAGCGATAATTTTTTCTGACTTCTCATAAGTTTTTATATCAGGTAATACTGTCATATTCGGTCACTGGTTCAGTTTATTTCATCTCCTAGGTTTGTATTCTTCGAAATACGACACGGATATTTGAATGCATATCATTTTTTCGTGTTTGCAAGCAGCGATGAATTCTGTCGTGGATTTTGCTAAAGTTTCATCTTTGAATGACTTACGTAGAAATAAATATTGATGGTAAACACTGTCTCTACACAGTGTTACATACAATACAAGGGGGTCGTATCAAATCACCCATGAAGGGGGGGGGGTCGTAAAAAATTTCCAAGAGTAACAACGATAGGGTTGACCCTGATCCGAAGCAAGAAAGACAAAAAAACTAACCTCGTGATGCCTGCAATCGTTTTTCGAAGGAATCCAATCTCGTCCTAGACATAGAAAGTGCAAAAGAACTAAACGGTAAGGTAGCAAATAGGGAACACAAACAACTTTTGCGATTCAAATTCGTGGTACAGTAACGAAAAACGAATCAAAACATTTTCGAGGAAGACTTCAGAAGCCTTTACTAACCAGACATAAGCAAATAAGGTTTTACATAGCACAACACAAATTTATGAATAGTGATTAATTAATTGAATAGTAAAATCATCCGGTAGGGCATCGACTGGGGCATATCGGTCACTCGTCGCAAGATCAAGGATTTTCCTGTAGCGCTCTTCCCACGAAGCGTACTCAGCTCTAAGCTAAACGAGGGTTAATATGAAATTGGTTTGTGGTTCCTGACTGGAGATTGAAAAAATTGACCTGACCATGAGATGGTCTTATATTAGTGAATGGACTTGGCCAGCTACAAGCATGTACCCAACTTTTACTCACTCATTTATTTCATTTTGTGGTTCGTATCCAGTTCTGAAGTGCATACACTAATACACTCTTTTGCTATGAAAGGAGCTGCATGTTAACAAACAAAAACGGACATTCGGTTGTTCCTCAAGTTCCAAATCTCTTCGCCTTCAGAATCGCGGCGGGCGGAACAAATACCACTAGGATTGTGCAAGGAGGAGCAAAAACTCCTGCCCCAGCGTCCCCATCTGGGGCCGTATTCAATCCTTCCCCCAGGGGATGCGTTCCCCACCCCTGATTCAATCCTCCCTAGTTTCGGGATGAGACAGAAAAGGGTTGCGTCATAGGACCTGCCATAAAACGCGTGATCTTGTACTACTCTCCACTATTGAAGCGCTCTTTTCCCTGAAGGGTCGCGCTGCTCTAACTGCCCCAAAGGTGAGGGAATGTTAAATCAGGGGTGGGGGACACGTCCCCCTAGGGGGATTGAATACGGCCCCTGGTGCCACATTGGGAGATAGTCGTTCAGTGATTTGGATAGCATAGCGTTGCGGAAGTTTTACTCTGTTGTAGTTCTTGTCACGTATACACACACCACACGGGAGCCCGACAGGAAGCCCGTCGCGTGGCAAGAAAGCAGAGTCAGCGGAGTCGCAGCGCTTATTGTAAACAAGTGAGTGAAATGTAACATTGCACACGTCCCTACATCGCACAGCACGCGCTACGACTTGTCCGCTGACTCTGCCTTTCTTGCCGTGCGACGGGCTTCCTGTCGGGGACCAACATAAATTTCTATTGTACACATACACACATATATGCACAACAGAAAACCCACACGCGGACTTCTTTGATCTCCTATTTTGTTTTCTTAGAAGAAGATTTCACGGTAAGGTAGAAGTTCGAAGAAGGAGAAGCTCACCTGGTGGAAAGGCAGGACTCCCTAAGGGTGCGGACTTCACGCAATTCACAGCGAAGGATATGCCCCCAGCGACCTAGTAGCCCCTCCTGCGCCGCTGTAGATGCGCGCGTCCTGCGACTGGCTAACCACTCGCCAAATGTTTCTGGCCGTCTACCAATTCTTATGGGCTGCCTTCTGAGCGTGAACTCCGATCTTAAGGTGATTTTTGTATTTTGCTGCTTTCTCGACTTATTTGCTATCACCCAAAATCTAAGCGCGTGTTACAAGATGTTTTGGCACGTGACTTTTAAAAGCTTCTCGAAGTGTAACTGTAGTCTACGGTACCAATGGAATGCTGCAAAGTTGGGAAACCTTGTGAGATAATCGCGGGGAATGTTTACATGTCTTCGCTTCAGTCAATATTTTGAAGAAATGCGACGTTGCCAGCAATCAAAAATGTTTAATTCACAAGACATGTATACATGAAGGTTATAGCTTGAAATCGCTTTCCACGATCTCCTAGGTGTAGATTGCTGCCTTGTGAAATCACAGGAGATTTAATAATTGGTTAACAGCAATGAAGAGGGCAGAAACGACATCGCTCAGAACCATTAAAAACAAATCGCCCCCTTCCCGCTCCCTCCCTCCCCCTCAAACATATCACCCCCAACATCTCATGTAATCGAAATGCTAGACTACAGACACTTGAGTACTACGAAACGAAAAGCACGCTTACAGTCCACGAACCAAGAAAGAACACTAAAAAAAGGTCAATAAATGCTCTGAACCTCTTCATCCGAGAGAGCGCGTTCAATGCTGCAACTGGGCACCTTAACAAATTCACGACGGCACCCTTTCCCACTTTTCGGTCGCGTGAGAAATGCGATTTTGTGAGCGCCACCCCTCACCTCTTATCCGGATATTGTATTGTAAATGAACAAAAACGTGAATGTCGCGCAACACTTTCAGCAATACACAATGCGAAGGGGTAATCTAAGCATATAGCAGGCTTACGATGAGAACAACCGCGTACGGGAACATTGGTCCCACTTTTCCCCAGAGTGGAAGCTAAAAGCATTTTTAACTCAATTGTTTCGATTTACCCATTCATATTTTCTTTCATTGTGTTTGCCTTTGCTTCTAGCGCTCTTTTCATTCACACCTTAAGCAATTAAAAAAAGAATAATCAAACCAAAAATTGGTACGGGTCAAAAGATTTTTTCTAAACATGGACGCACCGTGTAACGTCCTCGAATAAATCTGCCGTTCTTTACGAATGCAGTCCTTTTTTCTTCTTTAATATCAGACATACCCAAAAATGACGATAAAACACTGGCAAGCGAGCAAAAGCTAGCAGCCCATATGGCCATTGTTTCACGAGCACCCTTTCTGGCAGGCCTACGGGCTTCCGCCGGCGTGAATGTGTCAATAATGAGCAGAATTTGCATGTCTCAAAATATGAGCTTGACAAATAATGCAAGGAAGAATTACTTGGAATAAAGGAATCGATCTACCTGCTGCGCTTCTTCCTCCAGATCTTTTTTCATTTCAGATAAATCTTGAGATTCTTCGACTCTCCTTGTGATATCGTTTTTGATTTTCTCTTTATCTATTCCCAGTGTGCGAGTTGATTTCAGAGGAGCTTCCAGCTGAAACGTGCTATGGATCTTATAAAATGTAGGAATGGATAAAAGAACAATTTCAAAACTCACTAGACGTATAAACTTGTCCCTACACTCCTCCGTTTTCAATGTAGCGATAGCTCTTGGATATGACGCTCGACATCTAACGACCTTGAAACACCATCCATTTTACCTTTATCAGAAAGGTGCAGCACTCAAAAAATTTTAAGCTTGACCATTCTTTCATGTTTATGGCAAATATCCTCCTTTTTTCAAAGTTCATGAACAGTATTCCTTTTGCGATTACTCAGAAAGTAAAAAACCAATTGGAATCAAACTGCCTCACCAATTGAAACTAAATACATGTGAGAAAACGTAAGGTGGCTGGAGCATTTTGCAAAAAAAAAGTTTTTTTTTTTTCAAGAAAATCATTCGATAATGTGTGTGTTTTTATTAATTAATTCATCAATTCATTCGATAATTTTGCTATACTTCCAATTTGCGAATTGGTTTGGTGCTCAAACTCGAGTTAGTATTAGGCAGTTTTGCTTGAAAATAATTTTGAAATAATAGCTACTGAACAACACACTACATTGGTGGTCGTATCATAATGTTGAGTCCGTTTATCTGCCTCGCTCTCGGGTGCACAGAGACGAAGACTTCAACTGTGCACAACATGGTGACGCAAGCTGTGTTTTTTTGGAATACCTACTAGCGGGATGTTTGAAAGTCATGACCAAATATATGGCAATCACTAATTGAATTCTTTAGGAAACAGAGTTAGATTCTAAGTTTGCATTGTTTGTTCAAAAAAATATTTTATCGATGGGGACTCCACTTCATAAGCATGAAATAAGCAAGTTATACGAAATATGGAAAAGAAGGAGAGGTTTGTGTACAGACTTTCCCCTTTTTGAATGCCAAGTATCATTAAGGAAAAACATGGAACCAGAGGACAAATTTCCGGCTGAAGAAAACGACATCACTTATCGGACGATCTAATACATTGGCAATGATTTCTGTGTTGCAGTTAGGGCAAATAATGATTTCATATCACAAGCAATCAACAACAGCAGCATCGAAATCACAAGCAGGACACGATTTTCAGTCGTCGCACACAAAGACCAGTAACTCGTCAGGCATCGATGGGAACAAGTGTAAAACAACGGTATTAAAAAGGGCAAGCCAGATAAATTTGGCCAGAGCTATCCTTGAAAAAGTCTTTTTTACAGAAATTGGTTGCTCGTTGACCCATAATTTGAAAACACCCGAATCCGTAAAATGTAGGAAGTTCTACAAAAGGTATGATGCCGCTTGAACATCTCATGGGGATCGCACAAGTAAGCTCAATGCAAATTTTTCAAAAGCAATCACAGATATGTGCAGCTAAAAAGTACGACTTCCCCTCATATCGGCCCACAGTAATTTTCAACTTTAAGAACTTAAACTTCTGTTACGATGCAAAATTAAATGATTTCTAAGGAAGGGCAGCAATGAAGAAGTCCTAACAAAGACAAACCTCTCCAAGAAGTCGGTCTGCTTCCATGGTGAGATTTTCTAGTTCTTCGTTCAATACCTCCACCTGCGCCATTTCGCCTGCAATAGAATGGTCACAGTTTTTTTTTAATGTAAAATGAAAAACAAAGCATGGGTGGCCCAACTTCCACAGGTTG